ATATAAAGCATATATATACATGTCAATTCTCACCTCTGGTCAGGTGACGCACACATCTCTGCATAATACTTAATCTTTGGTTCTGTTCCGCTTGTCCGAAGAGTAGCAACACAACCATTTTGAAAAGTAAATGTAATCATTTGGCTGTTTTTACTCACAGGCAGCACCTATGCACAATTGCAACAACAGCTTAATTATACTTGGTATCTTTTTTCATTTTCAAGAATTATAAAATACAAAAGAAGATGGCTTGTATAATAATTCATAAACATACTATTTAATGAACATTTATAATAGTGCATGCATTGGGTTATATACCTCACATAGATCTCTAGGCCTCAGCAATAATCCTGCAATATAAAGACAAGGCTGAGAGAGTAAAGGATTTGCTCAAGGTAATCAGCTCAGTGGCAAAGCAAGAAGTAGAAGCCAGGGCCAAGACGGCAGAGTAGTCAGATGCTTCCGGTGGACCCTCTTACAACAAAGACCCAAAAAAACAAGTGAATCGATTGATTATATATGACAACCTAGGAGCCCTGAACATCAAAGGCAAAGTTGAGGAACTGGACTGGGTGGCAGGGGGAGGGAGAGACAGTTTGGAATCAGTGAGGAGTTGCTGGACCTGACTTGGCGAGAGCCTGAGCTCTTCAGGCCTGATCAGCTCATGGGTGAGCAGTGAGGAAGGGAAAAAGCGGTGCTCGGGAGGCATTTTCCACACCAGGAGAGACCCAGAGGCAGACAATCTACTTGGCCACCCAGAACCAGTGAGAAGCAGCCCTTGATTGGTGAAAGATAAGCACTTGGGTCTGGCCTACTGCGTGGATTAAAAACATCCCCCTTAGGGAAAAACCTCTCTCCCATTTACCTCCCCAGTCCCCGCTCTGCACTGGGTCCTGAATCGGCTTCAGCAATTGCTGAGTCCCTTGGGCCGGAAGCAGGATATGTCACACGTCCCGGCCTTGGAGAGTGAGCAAATTAACAAACGGGAAAAAATAAACTGCTGGCTCCCCTAAGCCAGGAACTCAGGGTAGGCACAGCTCCTTTGCCTAGGCACAGGCATAGGGGATCCACGGACTTTGAGTGCCTTTCCCCCTGCATAGACTTCTGTGGGTCCATTTCAATAGTGTAGGCCCTTACTACCGCACTACAACAAGGGTATATATCTGAAGTCTACTTTCAACTGTTTCAGCTGTGAAGTGGCAGGTTCATGACATTTGACGCTGCCCTGCCCATTAAGCAGGGTCTTCACCTACCCACGTCAGGGGCCTGAGGACTGGTGGCTCCACCCATGCCACCTAACCACCTGCTACAGGGGCCCATGAATAAGAGGTGTCCACCAGTCCTTACAGCCAACAGCACTGGGTGCTCATAGCCCAGCTGCAAAACCCACCCACCTACACGCTCTAGGGAACAGAGACACACCTTCCTCCTGGACACTCAGGAGCGGCTGTCAGCCCCCTGCCTTGCTCAGAGTGTGTCACCTTGCTGCAGCTAAATGCCTGTGCCTACACCACCCATGCCTGTCTAGGACTGTAGGTGAGAGCCTGCACCACACACATGGTGGCTATCTACCTGGGCACCTGAGCTGAAACCATACAGAAGGAGTGGGCAGACTCCCGAGCTCACATACCTAGTAACAGATCTAACCATCTGGTGACAGGACATTAGATCTTCGAAGGTGCCAATAATAAAACTAGCTCTCACAAGCAGCCTATTTGGGCATATCAAAACAAAACAAGAAGCTAGGACACAGTAAGTAAACATAAAATAAATAAATATAATAACTTCTTGATGGCTCAGAGACAACAGTCAATACCAAATCACATAAAGAGGCTGTCCATGATGGTTTCGGCAAGCTCCCAAAATAAAAAATCTAGAATTTTCCAGAGGAGGAAAATTTCTTGGAACTACCCGGGGCAGAATACAAAAGTTTAATATACAGAACTCTTCAAGGGATTAGGAAGGAAATTAATCAAAACGCAGAACACGCAATAGAGGAAATTAAAAAGATTAGAGAAGAGCATAATGACAAATTTAACAGGCTGTAAGAATCCATAGAGAGACAGCAATCAGAAATCCAGAAGATAAACAACAAAATTTCAGAATTAGACAACTCGATAGAAAGTCATAGGAGCAGAATTGAGGCAATGGAAGTCAGAATTAGAGAGACTGAAGATAAAGCACTTGACACCAACTTATTTGAGGAAAAATAAGATAAAAGGATTAAAGAAAATGAAGAAATCCTAAGAACTATATGGGATTCTATCAAGAGGAATAATCTAAGAGTGATTGGAGTACCAGAACGGGGGGGAATAACAGAAAATACAGACACAACTGTTGAAGATTTGTTGGCAGAAAACTTCCCTCATATCTTGAAAGACGACAAGATACCTATCCAAGATGCTCATCGAACCCCACACAAGGTAGGTCCCAAAAGAAAGTCACCAAGACATTACAATCAAACGTGCCAAAACCAAGATAGAGAGAGAATTTTAAGAGTGGCTAGGGATAAACGAAAAGTCATCTACAAAGGAGAGTCAATAAGAATAAACTCAGACTACTCAGCAGAAACCATGCAGGCAAGAAGGCAATGGGATGACATATATAAAGCCTTGAAGGAAAAAAATGG